AAACCCGCTTGGACGCAGCCCTGTGCCATGTGCTCTAGGTGACCCTGCGTGTGCAGGGGTTGGACTGGATGATCTCTAGATGTCCCTTCCAACCCTAAGCATTCTATGATTCTATGAACATCTGCTGCTCGTCCTTCGGGGTTTAGGGAGACTTTTCCCCACAGTTCGGCATCGGCTCCCACTTCGGTGCTGGCACCGCATCCGGATTGAGCTTCCTCCCCGCGAGGCTGCACAGCGTCACAGGGATATTGCAGGGCCCCCAGTTTTCCAGATTTTTCCCGAAATTTGTAGCTAGTCGGTGGCACCATGGGAGGTTTGTCTGGGAATGTGCTGCCGGCATCCCAAGGATGAGGGCAATGCGCCGCTCCCGCCATTCCCGGCGCGCTCCGGTTTGGATGCGCATCAAAACGCATCCCAAGCCTCTCCGGGGATGCATCCCAGCAGCCTAATTAGCTTTTGGGGTAATTGGCAGGGTCATTAACCTGCCCAGAGAGAGAGAGAGAGATTTTCCACCGCTGCAGGATTTTAAATGGAGTTTGGAGCCGCCTGGGGCCAGGGGCTTGCGCAGGATTTGGGAGCTCCTGGCTTTGGCATCCGGGAAAGCTGCTTTGTCTCCTCTATTTGCAGCGGCGCCTTCGGGAAGCTGAGGCCGAAGGCTCTGTGAAATCAGTATTTTGTTCCATGACATTAATTTTATGCCATCCCTGGAGTGGCTCCAAAGCAAAGTTTTATGTGATCTGATTACACAAGGTGAATTGTCCTGTATCTGTTTAATGAAACGGATATCGTGTTTAACGATTCTGGGGGGAATTAAATACATTTAAGCTATTAATCAGGCATTGGCTTCTCGAGGAGGACAGGGCAAGGAAGCTGCTCCCAGAGCCTTTATGCATCCTAAGATGCACGCGGATTCTGCTTCCAGGAGTCGTTGCTTGTTATTGATGTTTCATTATCCTTTTTATCACCTGATTTTTATGTGAGGATCAATTAGCCAGAAACCTCGGGGATAATTGAAGGATTTTAGCAGGGAGCTCAAGCCATTGCCCTAGGAATCGCTGGCAAGTGCATCTTGCTCATGGTTTATTAACCTGCCAGCCAGGAGCTGTGCTGGCAGCATGCAGCTCCTGCATGCAATGGGCAGCAGCGATGTGCAGTGGCAGTGTGCAGTGACAATGACAATGTGGAACATGCAATGACAACATGCAGCATGCAACGGCAGCGTGCAATGTGCAGTGGAAATGTGCAACGGCAGCGTGCCCTGCACAATTGCATCATGCAATGATGATGTGCAATGACAATGTGCAATATTCAGTGGCAGTGTGCAGTGGAAATGTGCAATGGCAGCGTGCACTGCACAATTGCAGTGCACAGTGTGCAATGATGATGTGCAATGACAATGTGCAATATTCAGTGGCAGTGTGCAGTGGAAATGTGCAATGGCAGCGTGCACTGCACAATTGCAGTGCACAGTGTGCAATGATGATGTGCAATGTGCCCTTGCAATATTCAGAGGCAGTGCGCAGTGACAGTGCGCAATGGCAGCGTGCCCTGCACCATTGCAGCGTGCAATGACGATGTGCAATGACAATGTGCAATATTCAGAGGCAGTGCGCAGTGACAGTGCGCAATGGCAGCGTGCCCTGCACCATTGCAGCGTGCAATGACACGTGCAATGTGCAGTGACGATGTGCAACGCACAATGACAACGAGCAACGTGCACTGGCAGCATCCACTGCCCAATGGTGGCAACGTGCCTTAAGAAACCCAGGAAAAAGCCAGCCCAGCTGGAAGTGCCTTTGTGTCACCCTCGGGACAAGCGCGGGTTGGGGACACTGGGGACGGCCGCTAACGGGACCGCGTGCCTCTTGCAGAGTGGCCGGAGTTCGTGCGCACCTACGCGCCGTGGTGGGCCGCGCACACGCTGGACTGGCTGCGCTTCGGCCGCAACGTGCTCGTGGTGCACTTCGAGGACCTCAAGCGCGACCTGTTCGCGCAGCTGCAGCGCATGGTGGGGCTGCTGGGCATCGCGGCGCGCGAGGACCGGCTGCTCTGCGTCGAGGGCCAGAAGGACGGCAACTTCAAGCGCTCGGGGCTGCGCAAGCTCGAGTACGACCCCTACACGCCCGAGATGCGCGCCCTCATCGGCAGCTACATCAAGTCGGTGGACGCGGCTCTGCGGCTGCGCAACCTCTCCGGCGTTCCGGACGATTATTCCCCGAGGTGACGGGGACGCGGCGCCGTGCGTCGCGGGGAGCCCCGGTCTGCCCGGCCTCCACCTACCTCCCTCCGAGCTGGCTCCGCACCCGTCGGCCGCGCTTGGCCGCGATGCAGCCCCTGCATGAACGGCGCGGGAGGAGGATGCGCGTGGGGTGCAATTCCGTGGGGCGGCCGCTCGGAGCTGCTGCTCCCGTCCTCCGCGCCGCGCGCTCGCCCCGTCCCCGTAGCCACCCCGGCGAGCTCGGGGCGCTCCGCGGCTCTGCCGTTCGGCCTTTGGTGGCCATCTCGCTGCCCTCCCTGCAGCACCCCGAGGCTTTGGGCAGCCAGCCCCCCGCATGCGCTTCTTGCCGTGCAACAGCCCCGTCCCCGCTCCGGGCGCCGCATCGGCAGCACCGGGGTCCTGGCCCAGCTGCCCCCGGCTTCGCCCCGTCCCCGCGAGCCTGCGCGTCCCCATGGATGTCGGTGCAGAAGCCGTACGTCCTGCGCCGCCTTTCCTGGCGCTCGGTCTTCGGGGGTCGGCTTTTCCCTCCGGAACGGGCTAGAGCCCTGTGCACCGCCAAGGAATCCCTCGTGATCCTCCTGCCTGTCTGCACTGGAGGGAAAGGAGCAAATGCCCCAGGAAAAGGGGTGCTTAAATAAAATATATTTTTCTAGCACGAGCGACGTAGCGCGGGGGCTGTTGCGCGAGGCTCCGCCGCCTGCCCTGCGCGTGGGGACGCCCCCGGCATCGCCCCATGGATTTTGTACGGAGCAGCCGCGATGTTTTTAACTCTTCTCGTGCCCGGTCCTTGGAGGGTTTTCCGAGGAGCCTTTCCCGCGGGAGGAAGAGCCGGCGCTTGCTCTCCCGGGCGATCCCGGGGCTGCTACCTCTGCCCCACGAGGCCTCAGGTCGAGGCCGCTATTAAATGCGAGTTTGTTGCTCTCCTGCCTCGGAGTTTATTTTATTTTTTTCTCCCCCCATCGCCCGCCTAAATGGGGATTTTGTTCCACTTTTCCTCTTGGGAGGCATTTGCAGTGATAAATGCGGGCGCCGGGTGCGCTTTGCTCCTTGCGCACCGGCCCCAGCCGTATGGAAAATGGGTTTTATATTGGATAGACAAACAGCCAAGAAGACAAGCTCAAAGAGGGGGTTTCCAGAGCCTCGTTATAGCGCTGGTTTGACCCGAAGCCGGAGAGCCAGCCCGGGGCAGCCGCGCTCGCTCCGACGCGCCGGGGCCGTGCGCTCCGTGCAGCCC